TACAATTATATAATTATTACAAATTAATTGCTTACTGATTATATTGTTGCAGCTATACATTATGTAACTCGTAAAGAATTCTTTATTTTTTGCTGCTTCTAATTCGATAATAAACTATTTTCGACTGTATATACCATATATATATATAGGTAGCTAGATAGATAGTATCAATAATGATTTTATAATTATTTGAATCAGTATTAATCAGTAATGCAAATGTGAAAATATTAATTTTCACTTAAGTTCTGTCATAAATTCAACTCGTTTTGATATTCCAGACGTAGCCAAATAGTAACCGCAATATAACATGTATAATGCTACTGCTTTATTCGGATATTCGAACGCTGCACAAGCAAGATGCTCGGAAAGTAAATGTATGCGGGAGTTTACGCAACATACGGAGAATCGTGTCGCGCAAATGTTGTGCATTGAAATACACATTCGCTTTAATTTCATGAATGCGTTAAGTTGTACGGTGATTTGAAATAAATTGCGAAATAAACGCATATTGCCGAATGCTTCAAAAGATAATGACGATAAAACCATACATAGCTAAAATCATTTACTATCTATTCGCATGTTTTTTTGTTGGTATGTGTGATTTGCCGCTATTTGAATAATAAATTGGCGAAATGGTAGTTTACGGAAATTTAAAGCTCCTGTTCACTCATCACTACTGATTACCTTTACATGCACTGGTAAAATCGTTTTAGTTAAAATCGATTGTTGGTGCTTGTTTACACGATTAGGCGTATTTTATCCCCACTAAAAATAAAATAACTTTATAAAACCTGATACGGAATTTGAAACAAAATATCCTTTGTCATTTCTTAATCTTAATGTCTCAAGTTGGTAACATTGAATTTTAATACGTTAAACCGATTGAAAACCATTTATAAGGTTTTCTTAAAACGATTTAATAATGCCAAACCTATTTCAGAAGAGATTTGGATTTACTAAAATGATTTTATAAATACCTTCTGACGTCACCATCTAAGATAGTGATAGTGAACGAACAAGAGTCTTAATGGCTGACTTAAATCGATTGTTTCCACTGCAGAAAGTAGCGTACACTGATTAAACATCGATCAATAGTAATAGAGTATTTGCTTTCATGACCCACGTCGCAATTTCTAAATTTAGTTTCCTATTGATACATCTATTTGTCTTTAAATCATATCGTTTGTTCGATTCAGACGACTTCCATCAATGAATTTTTTAACAAATCGCGCACGGTATTGCTCACAATTCTACGATCAATTCAACAAGAAAAGAAATATTGATAGTTTGTGGTACAGATGAAAATTTTAGTACAATAAAATGACGCGTCGACGAGAAACCGAGATATATTTCGGATTTATTTTGATGTACTGTTTATTGGACGACTGCTGAAGAGCGATTCCCTTGAAATTTGCTTTGAGAAAAGAATTTTATACGAAAACGGACAAATGCTTCTTGTTTTCAACGTTGACGACATCCTTACACAGTCTAGCAAGCTCAGTAATATCATTCCTTCATGGCAGTTCTCACTCGAAAATTTTCATTGAAATGATTGCGTTTCCCCACTCGAGACGCACTTAAAAATGAACATGCTGGTACTTTGTGCAAATATAAAATTCGTCATATGACAATATTTCTGACGACGTACGTGCAACTGTTAGCATATTTTTCAAATATGATTGAGATAAATATATTTTTCTCTATTACTTCCTACAGTCAACTTAATTCCTGGATATTTAAAAAGATACGGACTGTAATTAACAGAATGTTTCCATATCTTTCTATTCATATAGAGTAAATTTTTCATCTTTAAAAGCATATAAAATTCGGAAAATATAAAAGATACTTAAAGTATAATAAGATTGAAATAGAATTGATATACCAGATCAGTACTGATTAGAAGTAAATAATAAAATAAATTTTTTTAAATACTTTTTTGAACATTTTTCACATTTAATAATTATGTGTACATATTTCCTAATTTTTCTAATTTTTATTCTTACATACTTGAAAAAATTTATAAAAATCACGGATAATTAATTTTATGACATTATCATTTACAAATTTTTTTTAAAGCTGTTTAAAAAGATATATGTATTTTTATCATCAGAAACGTTATTTAATAATAATAAAAATGAAACAACAATATTAGTAAATTAACATGTAACTTCTATGTTATTTCTTTACATATTCGTGATTTGGTAAACCGCGATTGCGGTATATATTTTTGATATTATATCGAAAGCTGCAGTTATGTCAAATGGACAAATTTTCATTGAAAGCATAACTACGACGTGGATCCAACCAAGCTCGACCGACAAACGAATATTTTGAGATATATCTCTCCATTGGGATCACTACGATAATATCATTGCCTTCTCGGGATTTCCGGAAACTCCCTGCCCGTCGCATCCCTTCTTTCATCATTCGAAACTCGATGTGTTATGTCAGGCACATTTGATATATATATATATATAAATATATATATATATATATATATATATATTTAAATAAATTTTCGTACATTTTGACTGTAAATTTAAGTCCTCTTCAGCTTAAAAATATAATAAATAAATACATGATGTAATAATATCGCATTTAATATAACGCAAATTACATATTGGTATATGTGTGCGCGCGTGCGCGTGTATGTACATATATAAATTTTATATGCATATATAATTCATAAATATATGTGTAGCTATAATAAATATATGATCGTAGAAGCTGTTACAGGACACGCCATGCAACCGTATGAATATGCCAAACGGAATATCCGATTAAATCAACTGAAAATGCTGCAATCGTGTCACACATAGCTTTCTGTAGCATTATTATGATTATATCCTTGCGCGATCGTAGCGACCGATGACATATGTTGTTTTTATTACTGCTATAATAAGCGCGATTATAAACTTGCCACGATTTTATCCGTGAAATAAATGAGCAAATCTTCGGATTATAATTATTATCATCCGCATGTCCGTCAAACATCCGTAAAAACAGTGATTCCCAAACCTTTCCAAATTATAAAATAGAGATTCATAACGAAATGTATTAAATGTATTTTTTAAATAATTCGTATATAAAATTTTATGAATATGTATATAATCTGCTTAATTAATAGATCTTCGGAAAATAACAAAAATATTAGCGTGTAAAAACGTTGCATTGAACTTTTTTGGGATCTCAAAGAAATGCTTAATTTAAAAACTTTGTTAAATGATAATTTGTAGAATTTTTTAACTTGATATTCGACAGTGACAATGGAATATTTTATTTTTTTATTCCATTGCATTGCACATCAACAGTGATGTGTATCTGCACTCGGGGTATAACAATGCATCGGAAAAGTTTTGGAATTTGACATGAAAAAATACACGAGCACAGAAAAGTTTCAAAATATATCTTCTCATAAGTTGTATTCCATTATGATAAAACACACACACACACACACACACACACACACACACACACACACACACATTTCGAAAATTATTTTTAGAAACATCGTATAAGTTTTTATGAACTAAGTTTAAACGAATTAAAACAACTTTTTCCTTTTAACTTGTTTGCAAGAAGTCCTTCAATTTAATCATTTGCTGAAATCATGCCCGATTAGAAAATCCCACTGACTGTTTTTTATTTCTAAGCATTAGTATCCAGCATTAATAATGATGCATTATTATACTTTGGAAAACTTCGCGTAGCACTTCAAAAAACTCATGCAAGTTAGTATCTCAAAAAGTCGTGACGACAGTTTCATACAAATTTAGATAAATTTTACGGAGTTAAATGAAAAACGTGCAAACAGTTAAACTGCAGTGACGCGTCTGCAAAAGTTCTTACTGTGGTTGCGAAGGAGTTTCGTTTATGAAGGATTGCGGTGATATTTTATTCGAGACGTTCGCGAAAAGGTCCTCAGCATTCAGCGCGCAGCATCTCTAAAAGATTCTTGTTTGAAACGCAAGGCTGCATTATCTTCTCAGAAAATCGAAATTTGGAAATTTCAAATCTCCATCGAGATTCTGGATCTCATGAGCGGAGACGTTCCGAGATACATCTCCCTGTAGACCAATCGGGAATTCCCATCGATGCAGTCATCGGCAAACGGATCTACGGAGAATCCGTGGATTGCACGTTCTTTTTTTTTCTTACGGTCCTCCTGAAAAAGCTTATGAAAATAGGATTATTTTTATATTTTTATCTCTTGGACATCTGTTCCTATGTCATATCGTTATCTACACATCTTGCTTTCATGCGTCTTTCTCAGATGTGTTTTTTTTATTCGCGCATTTATCATATAATACTAAACTTAATACTAAAGTAAGTTTGCCAATTTTATTTTAGAGCCATAGTCTTTATTTTTATTATACGATCTAATATATTGAGTTAGAACAAAGTTTGTAGTACTGCGAACTTCAAAATTTAAGCAGCTATAACTTCGTTAAAAATGAACGAAATTTAAGTTTAAAAAAGGGTTTTAAAACATAAAATCTCTGCTTTCGAAAAATAACTGTATCTTTTGAGTTTATGTGAGTTAGTAACTTTTACATGTAGAAAACTACTGAACAAAATAGGAAATTTTTTTCTTACTTTGTAGGCTTGTCACGTGCTAAAAAAGCTTGCAAAAATTTTCGACTTTTTAAAGTGAAAGTTTAAGTTTTCCCTTTCAAAAATGTTCCTAAAATTTTTTGTTGCGATTTGTTTGTTATTATCGCGAATTAAATAAAAGGAGTGTCTTAACTTTTGATACTCGTAATAACTTTGTTAAAAATCATCGTATCGCAATTTAAAAAATAGATTCTTAAAGCTGAAAGCTTTATCGAATGATATAATTGCCAAATTTTTTTTTTAAATATATGGACACAATACAATGAACAACGCTTCGAACTTTTGTTTCAACCCAATATGTATAAAATTTATATCTATTAGATTCAAGTTAAGGATCAGGACAAGAAAATTTTTTTATTTTTTTATAAAATTATAAAATATTTGACGCTTGTAACGAAGCTTTAACTTAAGCTTTGATAAACTTTCAATTTTTTGCGTATCCTGCTTCGATGTGCATAAATCTCGGAGAGTAGGCTATCACTTGATGTTCGATTTCTGTGTAGAGGTGTGGGGATAAGAGCATCACGTGCTACTCGATCAAGCTTCATTCCGTGATATTTCTTTTCAAAGAAATTGCTTTTGCATTATCCCTTCTCCATGGTTGTATAGAAAAGTCGCAATATAGCTATTCTGACGTAACCAATCGCTGAAGAACACAACGAGATGTTCTTTCCGATTTCTCTGGATCGTATGACTTTTTTTGCTTTCTCTTTTGCATCGTCGTTTCGCAAGCTGATATTTTCGCGCGTAAAAGCTGTAAGGAAAATCCTCAAATTTGGTTGCGACGAGAAATGCACTGATTAACTCGTGTGTATCCCGATTCCTGAATTTCCACCTTCGTCTGTGGCGTATCCCACCGCATTGCTGCATCTCCAATCGGTCGTGAGGGAAATTCAACGTGATACTGTGATAATGGAACGTTTAAGTATATCTGCACAGGTAATGTGTGTGCGGAAACAGAAATCGCCGTTACCATTCCCTCCTTTTTTTTCTATCTCTTTTATTTTATTTCTTTCTCTCTTTCTTTCGTCGTTTTCTTTGATTAAGATTTCTGTACCTCTACAGATAACGAGGAGAAAATTGTCGACTATCATGATGTTCCTCGTTCATACCGCAGTTGCGATTAGCAATGCTGCTGGAAAGATTCGTTCTATTTGCGATTAAACTTGCTACGCTATATCGATTCTCGATTTTTGCTGAAAATCCTTTTCTTGCTCACAAGCCGCAAAAATCTACATCCTCTCGTAAACCTGAACGAAAATGTTAATAATTATTAGATTTATGTAATTTCAAAAGAGGATACAAATTACATAAATTTATATAGGAAATAATTAATGTTGCTTGACAAATAATTCGGATTCTGCGACAAAATTTTAGTTTTGTTTGTTTTGTCAATGCAAGTTTAATTTATTGCACAAAATGAAATTTTGTGTTAAATATACCACGAGAATAAAAAACAATCTAGCAAATACTGTTACTATTGATGCGAACAAATAATTTTTCATCGATAGAAAATTGAAGTACCCACGAGAAACTCACGTTACTGCGTAATGCGGGTCTCATTACGACCACGGTGCATTACGCACTATCGTAACAGCGTCGGGTTAATATCCACCCGCTGTGGCAAACTGATGGACCGACCCCCCCGCAATCCTCCCAACCCCTTCAATTCTATCGCCTCGTTGCGCCGCGCAGTGCGGCGTTGCTGCCGCACTATCGGGTGCAATGTCCTTACCGATGGAAATTGTTCCACTTTACGATCGCGCCGCCGAAGGACTCGCTGCCACCCAGGGTGAATCAGCGAAGGACAATGCACTCTCGTCGCTTCTGTTGGAACGCGAAATTATATAGTTTTTGCAGCTGCGTCTCTGACAAATCGCGATGCGACGAATACCAATGCGACGCACGATCTTGAACGTTATCACGACAGAAGTCCGCACCTGTGATTCTGTTTTTATTTGCATAGACACGTGAGATAGACGCATGATTTATCGAGAAAAGATTTATTCTTCGCGTAAGAAACGGCTGCCGTTCCCCAGTCAGATTTTGTTCTGATTCCCTCAGTAAAGAGTCTCTTTTTTTCTATCTTTTTTTCTCTTCCCTCTCAAAGAATTTGGTATAAACATATATATGACGAAGCATCGCACGAGAAAAAGTCAATATCCTATATATATATATATACTGACGACACATTTTCCAGCGTATTTCTCCGTAAACATTCGCTATCCTCCAAGGGATATCCTGTATAAGATTGCACGGCCGTCGACACAGCTACAATTTTTTCATCGAAGCAAAGAAATTGCCAGTCGTACGCGGTAATTGAGCACTGCGAAAAATCCGATAAAAATTTGTCATTCCATGATTGAAATTTGCTTCGTCTCGCTAAGTGAGAGTCTGGCGCATCTATGTTGCATTTTCCGATACCGCTCCTTTAAAACATGCCATTTTCCGTCTTCTAAATTATTGCTCGCAATCTCTTCGGTACCTCCGCCTTTACGAGTGCGCGCCAGTTCTTGGTCCATTTGTCCTCTCCGCCGTATTGAATCGCAAACAATGATTTTCCTCACGTAGCTGCATCTCCGAGCATACAATGCGAGAAATTGCAGTGATTGCCAGCTTTGTACTTTGAACGCTTTTCCGCCCGCCTAACGAGAAGACCACCGGGAAGAAGGGAAGTTTCCGCGGACCACACGCGACGGTTCTCGCATTAAAGTGCCGGTACGCGACCAGAAAGAAATATCCGACCTACTCTTTACGGAACCATTTTACTCGAGTAGGGCACGTAGATCATAATTAAAGGGCTAGACGTACCTATACTGATTTGATCAGTATAGAATTGCCTCATAAATTCATAATAACGTACGTATAAAATGTTCCCAATAAAAAATATCTCGATAAATGATAATATTGAACATTTTTACTGATCAAACGTTTTTATTTATATTTATATTAAATGTCTATTGATGTGAACAATAACATCAAGAGAAATTTTCTTTTTTTATTAAAAAAAAAAGATACGTGATATTCTGTAAAAAAAAATTCAAAGTTTATTCTAGTATATATTATTATATATAAAATAATATCAACGTTTTTCAATATCTTTTATTTAAAAAAAAATTAATTACCTGTCGTTGTAAATTTGAACGAGATTAATCCACGTTTTTCGAAAAACGAATTCTTTATCATGTAATACTCAATGAATAGTGCTGGTTCTCGTCAATTAATATAAAAACCTGATAACATGCAATGGAAAAATGAAGTCTGATGAATTTTCTGGAATTCAGTTTTACCCACAATATTCACAATGAAATTGAATACACTTGAAAATAACTATTAATTATAAATATAGATATAAAAAGAGCAGTCGAACAATTCTCCTACCTACATCACTTCAATTATGTAATAACGAAAAAAATAATTTTCTTGCACCTATACATATACAATTACAAATTTACACAAATGTGTATTCTATAATTTTCAAAAATGTTTCACATTAACTAATATATAGAATAATCCCGCACTAAGAAAAATGTTTCTTTCTATGAAAAAGAATATAAAAATTTGGTTGAAATGTACCAAACAAAAATATTTAGATAAATAGAAAAATATTTTATTTGCACATTTAAACTTGTACAAACAAAAGTGTAATTTTACGTAAAATAAACAGTTTAATTGATACAAACAAATATTATTCACAAAGCAAAAAATATATTTCGTATTAGAAGCAACTAAATTTTTTATTATATAAACAATTTGACTGTTGTTAAAAATAGCTAAACTAAACAATTTCGTTGAAGGCTAAATTTGTTTTTGATGTGGACGAATAAAGAATCGTCTTTAATTTTATAATACCAAATAATCTATCAATATGTATACTACTTGATTAACTCAATACCTTTTTAATTAATCGAAGATGCGTTATTTTCCATGCCGCGATTGCATTTGATCGAGGAGATTCAAATTATTTATGGGATATTGAAAGATGAGAGATAGGTGGGATCGGTCAATAAGCGTCACGCCTTATTCAAATCCCTTTCCGAAAATCAGGCGACCGATTCATGAGTGTCCGTCATCGATGGCAAGGGTACACACATCGTTAGTGCGTCCATCAACCAAAAGCGGCTGACCACCAAAAGCAAACCATTTGGAACTCGGCCGACTGGCGCAATTTCAACTCGGAAGATCCCACGATGTCACACGGGCTTCGATCGGCTCGTCAACATCGTTCAATTTTCAGTAATGGGTCCTGGCGTCAAACGCTCTCACGTTGCAGTTGCCCGATTACCCCCGAACTACTCTACGATTTTGCTGCCCTTTACAGCCAGTTCTGCTGCTCCAACCCAGAAGCAATTTCACTTCTTTCATTTGCAACCGGCGCGGTTGTTGCCTAATTGAGCGTCAATACAATCGATCACAATTTAAACGCGTGAAATTTCAGCGCAATTAACCCGCCGTCCGTAACACGATATTTTTCATTGTATGTATAGAGTAACATCGGTCTGGTGGATCGCCACCTATTAATTTTCCCATTTTCCCGTTTCCAATTTTCTCACCTATTGCTAGTGCAAGAAAAAGTGATTGCAAACTCTAATTTTATTCCTGAATTTTATGAAAGCATCTGGATGCGTGACGAAGCAATATTAACGAAAGATTTTTCCAATAAAAAACATTTTTCTAAAAAATGTTTAAATATACAGGATATGCTGTAAATAAAATTTTTTCATATGAAACTTTGCTTTCGAGCAACATTTTTAACAATTTATAAAGTATTAAAATTCATCGTATATGAACATCCTGATTTATTTGCAAAAAATCTCATCTGATTTTTAATAACTATTCTTTAATATCTATTTTTAGTATGTTATTAATATTCATGTTATATTAATGTTTACATTAGGTGATTCATAGCTGTGTGTAATAATATTTACGGTGTGTAATAATATTTCAATTAAACGTCAAATATCCAGTTTTTCGTTGGTATATCCCGAATTGCCTGTCTCCTTAGCATGTAATGAACGGCCACGATTAAAGCGCAGAATGCGATTGTGCGGTGGCTATGTTTGTAGATGTAGACAGCAAGAACGCGTTTCCTCCATGTAAGTTCGCTCAGACAAATGACAATATTCTTCTCCTTCATGGATTCGTACAAGTGTACGTCGCTATAAAAACTTTTATTATAGCAAAAACCAGTCCAGAAGCTCGCTTCTTAACCGTAGTTTCGAACATTGTCCCATGTATCTCTTACTTCTCCAAAGTACCATTAATCTAACTCATTCCACTCATGCCTTTTCTTTCACGTACGTTGTTATCACTATAATTTTATAAATCACAACACCTCAAGGAACACACAAAAGTAAAAAAATCAAAATGACTTTATTTTGATTCCTAACGTCACTAAACAGTGAAATTTTACAACTAAAAATCATCATTTTGACTTTCATCAAAATAAAATTATTTCGACTTTCTTTCTTGACTTGATGTTTTTCTTGGGAAACGAATTCGTCCAAAGCATTTTATTAAAGCATGCTATTTTTTTAATAACAGACTGATGCTTTATTAAAAAATCAAGAAATTATTGATTTCTAATAAACATCATGTCTTAAATGTACTAATATAACATTTATTTATAACATTCATTTGATATATTAATACATTTAAGACACGATAATTATTCTTTTACAAAAAAAGAACAGCTGAAATATTAAAAAATTTAGTTAGTTAGCAATTCTGAAAATAATTTTATCGTACTATCAAAGTAATTATATAGAAACGCTCAAGTTGATTACTGGAATGTCAAAACTTTTTGTAATATTATTCATCATATTTAAATTTCCTACATAATTATTTTGATAATCCAACAAAATTATACTTAGATCTACTTAAATTTTTAGAGCGAGATAGTTGTTTCGTTGTATTAATTTAAAGCATTTAACATATCAGTAATCCGATATATCAGTAGTACACAAAAATCGCTTTTTGACATCAGTAAATTAATTTCCATGCAACATCGAAAACAAGCACCTCGAATTGTATGTGGAATCATTGGTCCATTTGTAGCGAAGTCCGCATAAAGCCATCCATCCAATCTCTCTCACGGTCGGGAATGCGGGATAGACGAACCATTTCTGAATCTACTGAAACGTACTAGAACAAACAGGGAATAGAACTTCCCTCGATTATCGCGGAATTTCAATAGCCATTTCCGTTGCCGACGACCGACACGTATTCCAACACCGGAGACCGTCCTAAT